TTTGGAATTTCTGCTTTGTTCTTGTATACAGTTGCAACTACACTGTGCTCAGTTTGTCCTCTGTTAGCAAAGGTGCAAACCCGTTGTCGAATGTCACATTTCGGTTAGTTTGGGAGATGGGAGCAGAGTCTGTCACATCATTTGGCTTATTACTGTATGAATAAGGACCTGGTAACTGAGTTGTAAGACAAATTTCTAAATGGAAAGCATAATAAGTCTTTGTGTCTACAGAAGTATAAATTTTTTTTTTTTGTCTTTTTCCTTTTTATCGGTACCAGGGATGGAACTCACGACTGCCTGCTTGCAAGGCAGGCGCTTATGCCGCTGAGCTAAATCCCCAGCCCCAGAAGTATAAATATTTGTGCCCTATTTTGAAGGTGTTTTGGGAAAGTACTGCTTGAAGCTTCAGCAACCATAAAATGCTGAAAGGTATTCATCAGTAATCACATATTCAGATGGCGACTCAAACCATGAGCAGAGGACAGCCAGATGAGCAGTTCTTTTTCTTTCTGGGCAGGTGGTCTTTGTATTTAAAGCTCAGGCAATTTTGAAGGAAAACAAATCTCAAGCCCTGAGGTTATCATGAGAAAGCCCTCAGAGTACTGCAGACCTGTGAGTGCTCTCAGTTCAGCTAGTCAGTGTCTGAACACATTTTTGAGTGTGGCTGTTGGTGCATGCAGAAGGCTTCGCTTATATTTCAGCATCTGTGTTTCACCACATCTTGTTGCATTTTGTCTGTTACAGTTTCCACCACTGCAAGGCAGTGCTGACATTGCATCCAATAGTTTTCATTCCTGCCAAGACCCTCCTTGTAGTTTTGGACCTAGGTCCAATGCTAACATTAGGTTGTTTCATTTGGTTGTGTGACCATTTTGTACCGTTGCTGGTACAACATGTCTCACATTGCTGTTTTCTTCATCATCTGAACCAAGGCGTTCTGCATTTCCCTGTGTCTGTATCAGTCCTTTCTTCTTCCACTCACTCTTGCAGGAACTGTGGTTCACACTGCCAGGGTCAGAGTCATTGTTATTTTCATCATCCATGCATGAATGATCTGACGACTCACTTTTTGTTTGTTGTGCTTTGCTTTGCTTTGCTTTTTGCTTGTTTGAGGCAAGGTCTCACTATGTAGTGCAGGCTGATCTTGAACTCACTTATGTAGCCCATGCTGACCTTGACCTTACGGTGATCCTCCTACCTCAGTCTCCCAAATGCTGGGGTAATAAGCATATGTCGTTATACTCGACCTGATGATTCACTTTCAACTGCCTCCAAAACGTGCAAATCTGGTTTTTTATGTGCCATTGTACTGAATTGGGCTACTTCTACCAAAAAAATCAAAAGAAAACTTTAAAACAAATCCTAAATGCACAGGAATTTAGCAATAAGCATTTCATGGGTAAAACTCATCTGTTGCTACCTTGGAGCTCCTGTCCACACTTCGCCATCTGCCACTTGGGTGACTGTACAGATGAGCCCCCCCCCATATCCCCCCTGCTACTGTGAGTCACACTCACATTCCATTTATGTAAAATACGTAACAAAAGATGCTGTGGGTGTGTTTTCTCCCCTGGGATGCTCAGGTGAACTTATGCAGAACCATGAGATGGACTATTAACGTGAGTAAAAATCCCAATTTGACACTTGCACACATGCACACACCTTGCCTTCATCTTACCAAGTAGGTAGACTTAAAGATCGCTTCCTGTATCTCCCAGGCACAGCTGCAGAGATGCACAGCTGGCTACTAGTACACTAAAGAACAGATTTTACAGTAGAAAAGTGTGGGACAGGTTGCTGTAGTGTTACGCCCTTGCTGTCATCGAAAGAGACCATCTTTTCTCCAACATGTTTTTGGCATCTTTGCCAAAAATCAGACGATTGTGGGTGCTTGGGTTCATTTCTGTGTCTTCTCTCCTACGCCATTGGCTGCTGGTCTGTTTCTGTGTCTTCTCTCCTACGCCATTGGCTGCAGGTCTGTTTTGTGTCTTCTCTCCTAAGCCATTGGCTGCAGGTCTGTTTCTGTGTCTTTTCTCCTTAGCCATTGGCTGAGGTCTGTTTTTGCAGCAGTGCAATGCTATTTTGTTACTCCAGCCTTGTGGTATGACTTGCTGTCTTTGCTCAGGACTCCTATGGCTCTTGTGGGTATTTTGTACTTCCATATGAATTTTAGTATTTCTAGTTTTATGAAGAATATTGTTATTTTTATAGAAACCTCATTGAATCTATAGATCACTTTTGGTAATATTATATAAGCATTTTTTAGCATTGTATACATTTTTTAATTGTCGAGTTGTAAAATTTTTATGTATTCTAATTAAAAGTCTCAGATATATGATTTGCAAGTATTTTTTCCATTCTTTGAAATGGCTATTTGTTTTCTTTTTTTAACCCACATTTGCATTAATGCTTATTAATTGTACAGGTTTATATGAGTTTCATTTTGGCAAATTGCACATGCGTGTAACTTACTTTAATCACTCCCCACCCCCCTCTTTTCCTGTACTCCTTCTGGCGTCATGTGTTTGGAACGTTATTCAGTGTGTATGGTGTATTTTGATCATATTTGTTAAGCCTGGCTTTTCACTTTCTTAGTATACCCTTTGAAGCACAAATGTGTTTAGTTTTTGGTGTTCAGCTTTTGTTTTCCTTTTTTTTTTTTTTTTTGTCACTTGTGCTTTTGGTGTTCTAGAAACCATCACCTAGTCCAAGGTAACAAAGATTTAGTTTTACATATTCTTTTATAACCTTAATCTTGTAACTCATTTTAGCTTCCCCAGTCCCTGCTTTTGTATATCTCTGCCCATTTTTCTGGCCAATACACAAGAGTTTGGAGTCTAACAAAGGAGACTGCTTCTCAGAAAAGGAAGGAAGAAAACAAGATTGTAAATTTTAATGTGATTTAATACAAATGATTATACTTTAATGTAATTGTCCCTCATGATATTTGTTACCCATTTGTATTTTTAAATTTAATTTATCGTAATTATCTATATCCTTGAGCATATGTAATTTGCCTCTTACTATACCCCACATGGAGAGAGAGGTGGCTTTGTGGTCTAAAGTTAAGTCTTAAAAAATTGGTAGTATCAAGGGTTTAATTAAATGATGAAAAAGAGAAAGGTAATGGGGAGCTGGACACAGTGGCGCACACCTATAATTCCAGCACTCTGGAGGCAGAGGCAGGAGAGTCACTCTGAGTTCAAGGCCAGCCTGGGCTATGTAATGAGGTCAGGGCTAGCCTGAGCTACATAGCGAGACCCCGTCTCAGAAAAACAGAAGAATGATAGGGAATTTAAAGTCACAGTGAGTGAAAGGAAAATGGTGGCAGTTTAAAGGGGAAAGGAGAAAAATGAGTGAATTAGGAGAAATTAGACATAAGGAGGCTGAGTGAGTGCAGACTGCTGGGACTTGAACTTGGGACCGCAGGAGACTAGAACTCAAGGAGGCTTCCCTGCCACAGTGCTATGAGAGACCAGAGAAGCACAGAATAAACCCTGGCTTTGGGGCTGGACAGCCTTGAACAAGAGAAAACTGTAGCCTATTAGAGGTAAAGTTTGCGAACGAAAGACTTTCTAGGGAATACTACTAGTGAAAGTTTTACTAAAAACTAAGCAGAATTTGTGTACTTTGGGTCCGTACCATGAGCTACACAAATACTAAGAAGGTACCTGGCCTCTCAGACTTGCCAGAGCTTGCAATCAAATAATACGAGAGATAGAAATAACTCCCACGTACAACAGGAGAGGCTAACACTAGCTACACTTGCCGGCATCCTAAGGCAGCTCAACTTGCAGTGGAGAGCTTCGATGCAGTACAGTAGTAAGGACCCTAAGAATATGTAGCCCACAGTTGCCAGAGAGAAACAAGTATGCCAGAGTTCAGAGCAGGAAAGACTCACTTGATCAACTGATGTAGTGTATTTTTTTTGTTTTTTTTTTTTTTTAAATTTTATTTAAGGAGAAAAAAAAAAAGCAGAGAAAGGGTACAAGTTATACAGATTTACAGAAAAAAATAAACAGTAGGAAATCACTAGTTAATGGATTACATATTGTCATCTTAGAAATAATTGTTCAAGTCACAAAATTAAAGCTTGTAAAGTGGACATTCCAACAGTGAGACTGCAAACAGTTCTGTTCAATGATCCAACAAAACTCAGTGATATCATTATCTATCTTATACACTTATATATACATGCAGTTATATCGTTTAGAGCACTTCCTTTTCCTCTCTTTTGTACAATGACAATTACACATTTTGGGTTTTGTTGCTCCCACAGTTCTTATTACTTTTTTGGAAGGGAGTAGAACCAAATGTGACATAACAGAACAGAGTCAATCAAATCAAAAGGGTGGACATAATAGATAATGTAAAAGCATAATACAAGGTGATCAACAGTGGTTACCATGATGCCTCCTGCTATCTCTAATAGAATTGCCTATATTGATGTAGTGTATTTAAAGATAGATTTCTTGCAGAGTTACCACTTGCTTCTGTGCAAAAGTACCTGATGTGTTAGCCGTGGTTTTCCCACCTGTAAGCCTGGGAGCTGCAGCTGTGTATAAATCTTCTCTGTACCTCTTCGTGCTTTGTACCCTATCAGACATCACATGTGGGTTTTTTCTGAGTTATGTCACTGATCATAACATTTTTGTAATTGGAATTAGTCATCATTCACTGCTAAGGATAAAGTACTTGAAAGAGAACAGGAAAGGGCTGACCCTGAAATCCCAGTCACATGTCGCATTAAAAGAGGTCTGGCCCTCCTCACAGTTGACTGCATAAAATGAAGAGGAACCCCAGGACCTGGACCTGTGTGATGCAGAAAGCACAGTGGCCTTCCTGCCTGCCCTGTCAGGCTGTGCGATCAGAGTTCCATCTTGCTGGGAGCCCTTTCTCCTTTTGGACTCTCTCTCCATCTGAAAGTGCTGTGGGGAAGGGTATGTCCGTGACTTCCAGGGAGGTGACATTAGGATCCGTTTCTTTCCCTTTCTCTCCAGGTGCCAAGCTCTCCTGATGACATGTGTTCTGCCCCACTGGGCTCTGGGGGCAGTACCTGGTGCTGTTGATGCCCTTATTCGAACTTTCCAGAATGGATAGTCCTCCAAAGCTGACTGGAGAGACTCTCATCGTCCACCACATCCCCCTGGTGCACTGTCAGGTCCCAGACAGGCAGTGCTGCGGAGGGGCAAGTGGAGGCGGTGGAAGCACAAGGCCCAACTCCTTTTGCCCAGCCGAGCTGGGTGTCACGCAGCCTGACCAAGACGTGGGACAAGTGGACTCCCTCCTCTACAGCAGTCTGCACTCCGCTCCGGGGGCATCTTCACGACCTGCAGACAGCACCAAGGGTAGAGGCCGAGATGGAAGAGGCCCTGGGGCCCCCAAACGACACAATCCATTCTTGCTGCAAGAGAGTGTGGGTGAGCCAGGACTTGGTGACCTATTTGATGACAGCATCAGTGACAGTGCCACTCAGCAATCCTTCCACCTGCACAGCACTGGCCAGCCCACCTTCCATCTGTCTTCGTTCCAGCTGCCACCTGGCCCTAGAGTGGGCAAGCCGTGGGTGGCTACGAGCAGTCGGGCTGGAGTGGTGGAGGGGCAGGAACAGGACCCAGTGACAACCTTGGATACCGAGCAACATGGCACCAGCCATTGCTACCGGCCCGAGCTAGAAGCAGAGACCATGGAGCTGGATGAGTGTGGGGGGCCTGGTGGGAGTGGCAGTGGAGGGGGAGCCAGTGATACCTCTGGCTTCTCCTTTGACCAGGAGTGGAAGCTCAGTTCGGATGAGTCCCCAAGGAACCCCGAACGCCCTGGCCTGGGGGCTCAGCACTGCCGCTGCAGCAGCACATCCAGTCAATCTGAGGCTGCTGACCAGTCCATGGGCTATGTCAGTGACTCCTCCTGCAACAGTTCAGATGGGGTGCTGGTCACCTTCAGCGCGCTTTACAACAAGATGCATGGGAATTCCCGCGCCAACCTCAACTCCGCCCCGCGGTCCTGCAGTGACTCCTCCTTCTGCAGCCACTCAGACCCCGGCGCCTTCTACCTGGACCTGCAGCCCTCCCCAGCAGAGTCTAAGATGTCTTGCGAGTCCCACCACCCTGAAAGTGGAGGAAGAGAAGGGGGCTGTGGTTGTCCTCACGCCTCATCTCCTGAGCTTGATGCCAACTGCAATGCCTACCGCCCGTACTGTGAGCCATGCCCCGCCGTGGCTGACCTCACAGCGTGCTTCCAGAGCCAGGCCCGCCTCGTTGTGGCTACTCAGAATTACTACAAACTCGTTACCTGTGACCTGTCCTCTCAGTCATCCCCCAGCCCAGCCGGCTCTTCCATCACTAGCTGCTCTGAGGAACACACCAAGATAAGTCCCCCGCCGGGCCCCAACCCAGACCCTGGCCCCAGTCAGCCCTCTGAGTATTACCTCTTCCAGAAGCCAGAAACCCAGCCAGGCGAACAAGCAGCAGCAGGTTCCTCAGCAGAAGCAGCAACTGTCATGGGCCCTGCTGTGCTCGAGGGACAAGTCTACACGAACACTTCCCCCCCCAACCTCAGCACCGGACGCCAGCGCTCCCGCAGCTATGACCGCAGCCTGGAGCGCAGTCCTCCTGTCCGCCTGGGCTCATTGGAACGCATGTTGAGTTGCCCAGTACGCTTGAGTGAAGGCCCTGCTGCCCTGGCGGGGTCTAGCTCCCCACCCAAGAGGGTCACTTCCTTTGCTGAGCTGGCCAAGTGTCGGAAAAAAGCCGCAGGTTCTGGTTCCCCCCCACTCCGAGCGAGTGTTGGGGACTCCTCCCAGGAGTTCTCGCCCATTCAAGAAGCCCAGCAAGATCGGGTGGGCGCCCTGGATGAGGGCACTCGCTGTAGCCATAGCCTTCCAGCCATGCCCTTGGGGCCAGGCCTGGACCTACTTGGCCCAGAGCCCTGGTCCACCCAGGTCTGTCAGGGTGCTCAGTCCAGTGAAGTGTCATCAGCTGGCCTCAGAGCTGCTGGGCAAGGCCCCCTAGCACAACTGATGGATCCAGGGCCTGCTCTCCCAGGGAGCCCCGCCAACAGCCATACCCAGAGGGATGCAAGAGCTAGAGCTGACGGTAAGGAATTTAGAAGCTGGAGAATTCTACAGTATATGCATGGCCTGTCATAAAACAGGTCCCTGGCAACTTGCTCCATTCATCCCATTCAAAGTTTCTCAACCTAAGTTTATCTTTTCAGTTGAGGGCACGTCAGCTGCGTTGGGGTGGGAGCAGGGAGAAAGAGGAGAGAATTTTAAAAAGTGGCTTAAAAAGCCACAATACAGGGGGCTGGGGATTTAGCTCAGCGGCATAAGCACCTGCCTTGCAAGCAGGCAGTCGTGAGTTCGATCCCTGGTACCGATAAAAATGAAAAAGACAAAAAAAAAGCCACAACACATTAAAATTAATTTAAAAAAAAGATTAAAATTCAGCACGAAAAAATATAAAAGTACTATACACTGAAGAGATTAAATCAGTAGAACTTAGAGATTCTGATATACTGGAAAACAAGTAGAAGATTGTGATTCAGAACTTGAATAACTGGAAAGATGATGGTACCATACATAGACTGTAAAATAGATTTGCTGAAAGTGTGGCAAGACATTGAGAATTTACGGTGCTAACGGGATATGTCCAACTCGAAAGCTACACCAGATGTCAGTGAAGTCCATTCTTTGATCAGTGATTGTAGCTGTTCTTGAGGCTGAGACCTAAGCTAGGTACAGTGCGGTACACCTGTAGTTCAGACCCCCAAGACACAGAGGCAGAAAGACTGAGGCCAGCCCACACAACATAGTGAGACTGCTTCTCTATAAAAAAAAAAAAAAATGGTGGCCTGGCCTCCTTGGGCAGCCTTTTCCCTCTCCTGCTCCACTTTGCTATATTTTAGGCAGTTGTTTTATACCAGGCTACATGTTAAAATGGTTCTGGTAATAACAAAAGGATAATGAGAGAGACAGAGACAGGTACTGCCCTTAAGAAATTCCAGCTGGGGACAGAAACAGAAAAGGAAATACATCATTAAAATGCAAAGACAGGGGCCCAGCATTTAGCTTAGCAGCATGAACACCTGCCTGGCAAGCATGAGGTTGTGAGTTCAATCCCCAGTACCAAAAAAAAGCAAAAATGGTAGAGTATGGTACTGGCCAGTGACAGGACATCTAAATTAGATGGGCCATCAGGGAAGACTGAAGTGTTAGTTTATATTTAAGCCCAGTTAAAGACGGTTTGAATTAGGCTTGTTAGAGACTTGTAAAAATCTCCCATACTCATATAATGACCTGTACAAAGGCATGGTGTAGTCCGATGCTTCCCAGGAGTTGCAAGTACAGTGATTTGATAGAGCCACACTGAGGGACGGGAATGGAACCATAGACAGATATCAGTCAAGGGAGTAGCTGTGTTGTCATTTGGTTTGGTTTTTTATTTGCTTAGCAATGTTCTGATTTGTGTTTCAGAAAGATCACTGGTAGTTTCAGTGAATCTGAACGCAGTGTCTCTGAAATCACGAGAGACATCATATAAATTAGAAAGTCATTGCAATAAAAGTGGTAACTAGAGCTCTGTGAAGATGGGCACCTCAGAAGAATGTGTGGAGTTACAAAGCCAACCAGGAGGGAGCCCTGGAGCAAGTATGGTTTATAAAAACAGACCGAGTGGGTCAGCCAGAAAAATAGAAGAAATGCTAGAAGACAATGATAGAGGAACCAAAAGAGAAGCTTCTAAAAAAGAATTAGGGGGCCGAGGATTTAGCTCAGCGGCACAAGCACCTGTTTTGCAAGTGTGCAATCGTGTGTTCAATCCCCGGTACCCCCCCAAAAAAGAATTAGTTTCAACCAAATAAAGTCTAAAGAGAAACCACCCAAGGTAATGGTGACTGATCCTGCTGACACCTTAGCAGGTGGAGTACAGCATTCAAGGTGGTCAGGAGTGCAGAAGCCCCTCTCAGAAGGCTTGGGAAGAAAGAGAAGGAAAGGCAGAGGCAGGAGGTCCCCCACAGTGTCCTGTGTCTTCTTAAAGGAAAAAGTTAAAACCTATAAGTTGTGTTACCTGTGCCGTTGGGGTAACGCCCCTTCCATCCACAGAGGAACTGGCTTGTGGCAGAGGCAGCAGAGAAGTGGGGGGGTAGTCAGCGGTCCCACTCCCTAGACCGCACGGTGTGGCTGATGTGTCTGAGGGATACTCGCTGGGATTCAGCGGCAGGAGAAGTCCCAGTCAGATGTGAAAAGAAAGGCATTAAAAGTGTTTTTTTTCAACCAGATAAGACTTTTCATGGCATGCTCTATTTTGTAAAGACTCCAGTGACCTACAACAGAGTTCTTCATTTTTTTCTGTTGTCATTTTATGAAAAAAAAATTTCATAACAAAATAATGAGGATAGTGATAGTTAATTTGCTGTAAACCATAATTGTAAAGGTGGTTATTCAGAGTACAAGACAGACAAAAAAAGACTTACAAAGGAAACACAGAGTAGCTCAATTTTCTTTTCAATGAACTGAAACTAGTAGTATAAAGGAAACAAATTACCATTATATTAAAATATTTTTGAAACAACAGAATAGGTAATTTGAATAATTATTTGAACTTCTCCCTACTTCCATGTTATTAAAAAGGAGCTGAAAGACACTTTGAGATCCTAAGAAACACGATCCAAGGACCATCTCGTGATCTGTATCCCTGGCCCTTTTTAATGTTTTTGGTTTTGAGACAGGGTCTTGCTAAGTTGCCACGTTGCCCAGGCTGGGCTCAAACTTGCAAGCCTCTTGCCTCCGCCTCACAAAGTGCTGAGGTTACAAGTGTGCACCACCACCCCGCTAGATTTTGCCATATGTTAACAAAAGCAGAGACGAGTTTAAGGTTTGATATATAAACTGTACTTGAGTTGATTTGAGATATGTAATTAATTGCAAACTGAAGAAGGAGTCAGCAGTTGGAAAGTTAAAATGCTAGATTTATCCACAGACTGCAGCAGCGAGGAGTTAGCAAAAGTCTCTGTTCCTGAAGCAATGAATGGTGTTCCACAAAGTTCTGGCCATTCAATTTTAAGAACTAAGGCTGTTTTACCCAGAGAAGAGCACAATCCGTGAACATGACCTTTGTCTCCAGTTTCTTTTTTTTTTTTTTTTTTTAATTGGTACCAGGACTCGAACTCAACCGCCTGCTTATAAGGCAGGTGCTTATGCTGTTGAGCTAAATCCCCTGCCCCTGTCTCCAGTTTCTTAAAGGCTGTCACAGAGAATAGTGAGAAACTTGTTCTCTGTCTTCCCTAAGGGCAGAACCAAGACCCACTCCCCACAGTGAACCCCCTTCTTAGCTGATCTTGCTCTTATGCCCCACATCGTGCCCCAGGAGCTTGGCGGGGGGGTTAAGCGTAGTACTACATAATAAATAGACAGGTTTCATGTAGAGGCTTTATAGAGCTGTGGTGAAGGGACCTAATCTGATAGCCAGCATCAACTCAGCCTTGAAATGGGATAAAATGAAAGAAAGAAGACATGCCACCCCGCTCCCCCAAAAAGAAGACAACATTCCCACTGGGAATGCAGTGTGCTTACAAGTGGGGACGAGGTGGGAAGGGTGGTGAGGGGGTGCGAGATGTGGAGGTGTAAAGGGGAGAGAGCAGCTCCATCTGTGGCAGCTGCGGACACCCACCTGCCTGGGTACTTTCCACCTTATCCTGTGGGCAGTGGAAACAATGGAAGATAAAATGTAGTAAACTGGTATCTCAGGAAACTGGTGGATTTACGTGAGATGATTCTGGATGTAGTGAAATTCAAGAGAGACTCATTCATTTAAATGTTTAATACCTGCTCTGTTACCACGCCCTACTTGAGGTACTGAGGATTTACAGTAGTGAACTCTATGAAATCCCTACTTCCTGGGGCTCTTAAAAAAGTAATAGGCAGCATACACATAAAAAGATAATACCTAATAATGAAAAATGCCAAAAAAGGAAACCAAGTTGTGCACAGAGAGTGACTTGCTGGAGTTGCTAAGGCTGCCAGAGAAGGTCTGATCTGAAAGAGTGGAGTTAAGTCGCCATCCCAGGCAGAAGGAAAAAGTGCAGAGGCCCCAGGATGTTAGTGAGCTCTGCATAATTACGGTTAGAAGGAAGCATGGCCGAAACCTAGTGAGTGGAGAGAATCAGTGCAGGGTACTGACGTGCCTTAGGTGAGGCTTCGGTTCCCACCGCTGGTGCAAGTAGGAGAGATGAGGGGTAGGAAAGCCGAAAATGGTGAAAGAACACTGGCCGCAAAGTCAGCCTTTGGCTTAGTCAGGATGCTGGCTCTGCCACTTTCTTATTGTGTGAATTTGGGCAAATGACTTAATGTCGCTACATTTTCCTGGCCTGTCAAGAATGTTGGGCCACCCAGCCAGGGAGCCACGCCTAGGATTTTGGGCCTTGTGGGTACTTAGGGCACCACCTTGTGTTCATCCATGTGCACAGCGTGCAGTGTTTACTGAGTGCACAGTCCCTGTGGTCATGGGGGTCTGTTAGCTCTGAGCTCTATGTTTTGGAGGGTACTGATCTGAAGACTTGCTGCAAGAACAAGAGGCCCAGCCTCTGCAGCAGAGCAGATGTGGCCTCTGGGGTTTCCATCATGTACGGGGAAGGGGGGCAGTGTCACGGGAAGGCTGGTTCTTGGCTGCAAGTAAGGAAGTGTTCTATTATGGTTCGGTTTGCTTAGGAATGAAGTATGTTAGTGTGCGTGAAGATGGGCTGATGAATAAGTCAGTAACACCCTAACACCGAAAACTGGGGACTCTGACTCCGAGGACAGAATCCAAGAAAACAGTAGCTTTACCGTTGATTGAGATGGAAATTACCAGCCTAGTGTGGTGGCAGGACCCTGTAATTCAACACTCAGGAGATTGAGACAGGAGGATCACTGCAAGTTTGAGGCCAACCTGGGCTACAAAGAGATTTCAGGGCCAGCCTGGACACAGAGTGAGATCCTGTCTCAAAAAAAAAAAAGAAAGAAAGACATTATCAGAAAAATGGACAAAAGTGACGGAGGAGCTGTTTTAAAAGGCAAATCTTAAGTCAAAGCAGAGCCCCAGAAAAAGGGCAAGGCCAGTGTCATGATTCTGAAAGTAAGGTATGAAAGCTGAGTTTAAGATGTACAAGGAAGGAAGCATAAATGTCAAGTACAGGAATTGAGCGTTAGGGCCAGGAGTTTAGCTCAGTTGTATAAGTGCTCATCTGGCAAGCATAAGGTTGTGAGTTCGATCCCCGTATTAAAAAAAAAGAAAAGTAGGGGCACCTATTTGGCAAGTGCGAGGTTGTGAGTTCGATTCCCAGTACCTAAAAGAAAAAAAAAGAATTAAAAAAAAAAAAAAAAGAATTGAACCTTAAATTATACTCTCCTAGCCAGGCATGGTGCTGCTCACCTACAATCCCAGTGTTCAGGAAGCAGGAGAATCACTGTGAGTTTAAAGGCCAGCCTGGGGTACATAGTGAGTTCAAGGCCAGCCCAAACTACATAGGGAGACCCTGTCTCAGAAAAGAAAAAAAGTACACTGTCCTTTGAAGTCAACAAAATGAAAACTGAGTACACGCCAAAGAGGTACATGTCCAGTATTAAATCCATCAAATAGCAAACAGAAGAAGGGGAGCAGTCCTGTTCTCAGACTTGAATTACTTCTGCCCAGCTCAGCTCCCACAACCCAGGCTTTGTCTGTCTTTCCAGGGGATGCCATCTGTCTCCGCTTCTCTGTGTCCTCTCATGTGAGTTTCTATGTGTCTACCTGACCCTTTTCCATCCCTGTTGCTGCAGGGGGTGGTGCAGAAAGCCGACCAGTCCTTCGCTACAGCAAGGAGCAGAGGCCAACCACGCTGCCCATCCAGCCCTTCGTGTTCCAGCACCACTTCCCCAAGCAGCTGGCCAAGGCCCGGGCTCTCCACAGCCTTTCCCAGCTCTACAACCTCTCAGGCCGCGCACAGCAGCCTGCCTCACTGGCTGCCCCCCCTGCTCAGGGCCCAGCCCCAGCTCCCTTGGGGGAGCCGCAGACATCCTCACCTCCAGCCACTAACAGAGGTGCCAAGAAAGCAGGGCCTGAGCCAGAGACCTCACGGCCGTCACCCCTGGGCAGCTACTCCCCCATCCGGAGCGCTGGCCCTTTTGGGCCCAGCACTGACTCCTCTGCCTCTACTTCGTGCTCCCCTCCTCCAGAGCAGGCCACAGCCCCTGAAAGCCTTCCCCCATGGAGCCACTCTTGTCCTCCTACTGTCCGGCCTGCCACCTCCCAGCAGCCACACAAGGAGGATCAGAAGACGCTGACCTTGGCTGAGTACCGACTCCATGGAACAGGAAGTTTGCCACCTCTGGGCTCCTGGAGATCTGGTTTCAGCCGGGCAGAGAGCCTGACCCGAGGAGGTGGTGAGGGTACCATGGCCTCCAGGCCCAACAATGGTATGAGTTTCATTCCCCAGCTCAACCAATTCTACTTCTTCTTTGAAAGCTTTCAACCCTAGTGACCTGTCTGAGCCCATCAGGTGGCTGTGAAGTACCATCTCCTGACTCTTACCTGTCTGTCTCTGCTGTTCACCTGTTCTTTTCCAGCCAACCACTTATCTCCTCAAGCCCTCAAGTGGCGGGAGTACAGAAGGAAGAACCCACTGGGGCCTCCCGCTTTGTCAGGGAGCCTAGACCGAAGGCCGCAGGAAGCACGGCTGGCTCGAAGGAACCCCAGCTTTGAGTTCCCTGGCTCCTTCAGTGCTGCCAGCCACCTGAATTACAGGCTAAATGGTGAGTGGACAAGGTCCCCGGGCATGTGGGCAGCTCTGGCTCTGCTGCCTGCTGCTGGAGGGGTGGAGATGGGGTTGGTCCCCCAGGAACTGTTCAGAAGGCACAAGGCCCCTAGCCAAGTTGGAACTCCTGGAAAGAGTTGCTTAGGATTGATTTTTCTCTTCTTTCCAGCTCAAGCAATGAAGCCATTACCACTGACCTGCCCAGACTTCCAGGACCCCTTTTCCTTGGCTGAGAAGCCTCCTGCCGAGTTTTGTCTGTCCCCAGATGGCAGCTCAGATGCTATTTCCATTGACCTGCTTCAAAAGAAAGGTACAACTCAGGCCAGGATTTGGGCTGCCAAAGCCTATTCATGCATGTTGCCCTACCTCTAGCCCTCTAGAATATCTCCACCTTAAAACTCCAAATGCTGGGGAGGAGCTGGAGAGCAGGGAGCAGGAGGTGAAAGTGCTGTGTGCTGAGTGAGTGAGGAAGAGATCAGGCTCCAGCCCCTTCACTCAGCAAGCCACGCTTCCTGCGGGAGAACCACAGGGTGGGAGGGCCTGCGCTCTCTGGTGGGCGTGATGGACAGTGCCACGGCCTGGCAACTTGGGTAGGCCTGTTGGTGGCATCTAATAAGGCGAGGATTGATAAGAACCACTCAGTTTGGCAAACGGGCAACACTGAACTAAGAGCAGTTCGGACAGATGATGGGCTAAAGGGCAGGACCTAAGGAAGGGGGACAAGATGGCGCTGGAGCTTCTTGCAGAGACAGCAGGAGTCAGAGGTGGACAGGAGGAAGGGACTGCCACAGCAGGCAGCTCCCCTGTGCCACGCCATCCTGCCTTGAAATCAGCCTTCTCCAAACCTGAACCTCCACAACTCGTTCTGTACTCCAGAGACAAGAGGTCTTATCACCCTAGTTCACTGAGAGTTCCTCAGTTAAAAGTTCAAGCATGGACGAAAACAGCTGGCCTTCCGCCTCCCTCCAGCACCTGTGAGCTTAGCAGGTTTCTGTGGATCATCAGAGGACCAGATCAGTTATTATGGGCAAGCCTTAGATGGCAGCTGCGTTCTTCCAGCTGCGCAGCTTATCCTGCAGATCGACCGCCTCTGTCTTCAAGAACCCATACTTCAGCAGGTGGATCCGGACTACCTTAAGCTCACCATGGAGGCTGTGTACCTTTTTTCCTGTATGTGTCTACACACTAACCTCTTAAAGGAACCAAGGAAAATCTGATACGCTACTTTACTAACTATACCAACCCAAAACTAGATGATTGGTGACAAGATCAATAAACTAATATAACATACAAAAAAAAAAAAATAGGGAAAAACATTGAGCCAGAAGTTACACACTTACCTCCTCCAGAGTGAGACAGACAGAAGGAAGGCATGGGAGACAGTATTGTGGGGGTTTAGAGAGAGGGAAACTGAGGGAGTTCATCGTCCTGTGTGAAGTGGAACCAAGACCTTGAGCAGAAGGGTGAAGATTCCACAGGACAACCTGAGTGCAGACCAAAGGACCACCCTGTCGGGCCCGCTGGGAAGGACCTGGTTTCTCCTTGGCGATGATCAGTGGCAGAGAAGACTCAAAGCAGAGAAGACCGACGTTGACTTTACCTTGGACTGGAATGCAGAGCGAGGAAGTGAGGAGGTAGAGGCAGCCCTGAGGTGTGTCCAGGCTCAGAGGTGAAGACAGGGTGATTGAGAAGTGGTGCAAGCTGAACCCAAAGCCAGACCTGCGTGTCTCTGTGCGAGCTTGGGATATGGGTGGAGAATGCACCTAAGTGTGGGTGCATTTCCCATCCCCTCCAGGGTTCCCTGGAGTTGCCTGGGGACCTGCTCAGGGACCTGCTCCACCAGATTCTTCTTTGCAGGACTGGTAAAAGCTGTCAACACTGCTGTGGACCTCATTGTGGCTCATTTTGGCACAAGCCGGGATCCTGGGGTAAAGGTAGGTAGGAAGGTGTGCAGTGGTGCTGCGCTTCTCCCCGGAGAGCCTCACTTCCCTGGCTGTCTGAGCACAGTGGGAAGGCAGGAGTGGGTGCCAGGGGTGGGGGACAGTCAAAGTGAGGCTTCCCAGGATTTTCTGACCTCCCTTATGCCGCCTGCAGGCAAAGCTGGGAAACAGTTCTGTGAGCCCCAACATCGGCCATCTTGTTCTCAAGTACTTGTGCCCTGCAGTCCAGGCCGTGCTGGAGGATGGGCTCAAGGCCTTTGTACTAGATGTCATCATTGGACAACGCAAGAACATGCCATGGAGTGTGGTGGAAGCATCCACCCAGCTGGGTAAGAGCTGGGTGGCAAGATGGGGACCCCAGACTGACTGAGGGTTCTGGAAGTTGGACCCCTACAACCTTGTCTCCTTCCCAGGCCCATCCACCAAGGTCCTGCACGGCCTGTACAACAAAGTCAGCCAGTTTCCGGAGCTCACCAGTCACACCATGCGCTTCAATGCCTTCATCCTCGGCCTGCTCAAGTGAGTGTGTGGGGCAGCGCCCTCCTCAACAGCCCCGACCCGGGCCCAACCGGGCTCTGCCTGCTCCAAGGAAGCAGCTAGCCGACAGCCAGGTGGGGGTGGATCTGTTGGGTTCATGCTAGGGCTCAGACTGTTTCTCCCCACCGAGTGGCAGCTCTGGCTAGGAGCCATCTCCCTCCGTACAGCATCCCTGGGGCGCTGACCACCATGGTCCTCACCAGCATGGTCTTCCATAACCTCTCTTACTTGGAAATTAATTGGATTTCTCAGTTTCTCTGGATCTTGTGAACCTTGATCCTCTCAAGTTGAGTTCTACTTCCAAATCATGCTTAGAAACCGAAGCTCACATCAGAACCCATGCTGTAATATTAGTTCTCAGGCATGGGCCCAGGTCCTTTCACTCAGTAGCTTCTGGTGCAGGCTGACTCCATTCTAGGGGAAAGTGGCCTGTCAATCACGTATTCACCACACTCCCCACACTGACACTGACATTAGAGAATTGCGTTCTGTGATGTGGACCAGGGAGCACCCCTGCCCTGGGAAGGAGATGCTCACCTGTGCTTCTTCCCTGTGTGTGACCCCCTGTCTTGTTCTGTGTATACCTTGTAATCTGGCCATCTCCAGACAAGACCCAACTCTTCTTACCTGTCTCCCTGCAGCCTCCGGTCCTTGGAGTTCTGGTTTAATCACCTATTCAACCATGAAGGTAATGCCCAGAACCTACTGTCTCTCACAAACTCAGTTTAGACCTCAGAGGTTCAAAAGAGAGGAATCACTGTCTTTTCAGATCTTAGAGGATGGTAATGGGGCCACACAAGCTTTCAGAGCTTTGGACTTCTACCCAAGTCTTTCCCAGCCTCTACGAGATTAGAACTTTGGAGACAGCAGGAGAGTCGGGCAGTCTGGAGTCTGGGGTGCCAAGAACACAGTACCTCTCTCTATATGAGAGCTGTCACTGAGGGTGGTAGAGATTGTGTCCTGCACACTGCAGAAGCACATCCGCATTGCACAATACACAGCCTGGGCAGCACCACGGGGCTCACCCAGTGCCTTTCAGTGCCCCGTGGGCCAGGCCTGCTCCTGTGTTTCTCTTTCCCCAGACATCATCCAGACCCACTACCAGCCCTGGGGCTTCCTGAGTGCAGCTCACACCGTGTGCCCCGGCCTCTTTGAGGAGCTGCTGTTGCTGCTGCAGCCCCTGGCCCTGCTGCCCTTTAGCCTCGACTTGCTGTTCCAGCACCGGCTGCTGCAGAGTGGGCAGCAGCAGCGGCAGCACAAGGAACTGCTGCGGGTGTCCCAGGACTTGCTGCTGTCTGCCCACTCGACGCTGCAGTTGGCCCGAGCCCGGGGCCAGGACGGCCCTGAAGACATGAACCGAAAAACTCCTGGGGAGCGGGTGAAGGGTGTGGGTGCCCCAGAAGGTAGAGAAGAGGAAGAGGAAGAGTCAGAAGAGGTGGCAGAGCCAGCTGGGGGTTCAGGGCATGGCAGGTGGGCTCGAAGTGGACAGGCTGGTTGGTGGTATCAGCTCATGCAGAGTTCCCAGGTCTACATCGATGGCTCTACAGAGGGCTCCAGGTTCCCTCGAAGTAGCAGCAGCAGCAGCAGCAGCAGCAGCGGTGGTGGCATCGGCAGTGGCCATGGCCTGGAGAAAAAGAAAGGGACCGGTGGGGCAGGGGCTCCCCAGGCTCCACCTCCACGTGAGGGAGTAGTGGAGGGGGCTGAGGCCTGCCCAGCCCCAGAGGAGGCCCTTGGCCGGGAGAGGGGCTGGCCCTTCTGGATGGGGAGCCCTCCTGACTCCGTGCTGGCTGAGCTGAGGCGCAGTCGGGAGCGGGAGGGGCCTGCTGCCCTGCCAGCAGAAAGTGAAGAAGGGACCACCGAGCCTTCACCTGGGGGCATCAAGTGGGGACACCTCTTCGGTTCCCGGAAAGCTCAGCGGGAAGCCCGGCCCCCAAACAGGTGAGACGCCTCTCCCAGGATGGACAGGCCATTGGGGGAGCCTGATCTAAGCTAGAACAGAACAGACCCCGAGCTCGGCTTCTCGGTCCCAGGCTGCCCTCAGACTGGCTGAGTTTGGACAAGTCCATGTTCCAGTTAGTGGCACAGACAGTGAGTGCCCGACGGGAGCCAGAGCCCAAGGAGAACCTGCAGGACCCACACTCTCCAGCCTCGCCTCCCCACCCTCCGCGGTAAGGCCTGGGAAGTGGGAGGGGAACTGGGTTTCCCTTTCCATGTGGTTTCTCTGACCTCCGGTTGTTGTTACTCCAGGGAGGTGCAGGCGCTGTGCCATCACGTGGCCACAGGTCCTGGACAGCTGAGCTTCCGCAAAGGAGATGTCCTACGGGTGCTGGGACCAGCTGGAAGAGACTGGCTGCGTTGCAGCCTCGGCCCTGACACTGGCCTGGTGCCTCTGGCCTATGTGACCTTGACCCCAACTCCAAGTCCAGCCACAGGAAGCAGCCACAACTGAGGCCCTGTGCATGCTAGTGGCCCCAAGGACCCTCATAGCTCCCAACTCAGAGACTGAGAGCCCGTCCAAGCCTCTGGCTTGGCTGTGTACAGCCGACTGAGAGCTGGAGTCCACATACCCCTGTGCTGGCACCTGCTCCCTGTGCTCAGTATTAATTACTCCCCTTTAACTGTCCCAGTGGCCATGTTCCGACCTCCAGCCAGGAAAGGAGGGAAAGGACATAGAGCTGGGCTGCCAGGATTTCCTTGTCCCATCTGGGCCAACCCTTCCGCGGGTGTAGACAAGTAAATCCCTACCGAGGGAGGTAACCAAGAAAGCCATTTGTAGGGTTCTCTACGCCGGATGGAGAAAGAATGAGGATGAGAAACAGTATTGGGGCCAGATGTGCAAGCCCCTCAAACTGTAAATAGGCTATGACCAGTGCGTGGTCAGCAGAAGAGGGAAAAGGAGCCCAGGCTTCTGTTTATGTATTTATTTATTTATTTATTACACCTATTAATAAAAAAGGTGCTCAGCCTCCAAACCATTTTCTTCTCCGCCTCCCTCCAACCACCCTTTTGCCTGCCTCTTGCTTCCAGGAGATGACTGGGATTGGATGAGAAGAAAAGGGGAACTTAGGACCAGGGACCTAAGCCGGGAGCTGCTTCTGGGACATGGTCAGGCCCAAAGCATCACGGGCGAGATGCCCACCTGTGTGGCCAAACTGGAAATTAAACCCTGTGTGACCAAGGGAGTCCCTCACATATAGCTGTGACAAGAAAAAGCCCTTTAGTTCTCAGCCGCTGGCCTCCATACTGCTGTCCAAAATCTAGGCTAACTCCTACTATGAGCTACTTGTGGTTCCTCTCCCGTATAACGATAAAGCTGGACCACTCTGTGGATGTGTCTGAGGTCCCCTCATCTGTGGCAGTCCCCCCAGCCACTCCCATGACCCATACACACCCAAGCATTCTGGTTCCCCAGCCTCTGTCAGCCCCTCTCACCTGGCACATGGCCTCGTGGTGAGGTGGAAGAGCCAGGTCCTGAGAAGGGCGGGCAAAGGCCTGGGACCTCGTTGGGCACTGCCCTTTAAGTGCTTCTGCCCAGATTTCTGCAGTGCCTGGTTGGCAAGCATTGGGAAGCTGGAAAGAGGAAGAGGCACAGAGCACAGAGCCAGTGAAGCCTGCGGGTGGGGGTGGGGTTGCCGAGTCAGGCATGGAGGAGGGGCCGTTCTCACTGCTCACCCCACACGAAGAACCCTGGGGGACTGTGTCCTTCATGGGACAGGGCAGAACCTGTGGGTAGGGTTGACAGAAGAAACACAGGCTGTGAGTCCAGCCCAGTGCTAATGCAGGCCCAGAACAGGCAGGGCCGCCCCAGGCTTGGGCACTGAAAGGGAGGGCCTCCGATTCATGTCCACCCCACCACCACCCCCGCCTTTGTTCTCTCCTGTTCCACCTCCAGCTTCAGCTCCGGCTCCAACGTTGGCTTTTGGTCTTTGTTTCCCTTGGTCTCCTTTGTCAGTTCTGGACTCCCTTCATCCCCATGCTACAGAGCAAAATCATTCAGAGCCTCCGCCCAGACCTGACTGCAGTTCTTGGCAAAACGCTTTGTTCCTGGGGTATAAAACGCGGCAGACAGAGGCGAGGGAGGCTTGTCAGTGTTTGGGACCAGTACTCCAGGTTGGGGGTACCTGTTCATTCCTGTGTACCCAGGGATCACACTGGAGCCTCGCCTTCTGTGCATGCACCTAGCAGGCTGTGCCTGGAAAGCTCGGGAGATCTTGGAGGCCAAGAGGGAGGCAGAAGGGTGCAGTGGGCAGGGGGCCTGGCTCGTAGATCTGGCCCACACTGACCCGGAGTATTGGCAGTGTCCAGCATATCTGTAGCACAAGACACACGCGTCTCCTTGCACGGCTGTCCCCCAAGACAGAAGCAAGGCCTCTCAGACTCATCTTTCTCATCATCAGTGGTGTGTGCTTGCAGCACGCATTTCTGACTCCTCTGTCCACGCTTTTGCTGTTACCCTGTTTCCATGAGGATGTAGCACAAGCTCTGCCAGCCCAGCCATCACTGCTTCCTTGCTTTTCCTTCTCCCTTTCCGCACTAAGTACATAGCCCAGTCCTGCGCCTCTCAAACCAGCGTTTCCACCTGACCCCAAGGCCTCAGTGACCCAACTAACTCTCACAGCCCTACAGCCTCCCAGAACCAGCAGGGGATTCCCTGGGGAGGGTCTTACCCTGGGATGTAATGACAATTCTGAGGGCTGAGCTGGTGCTGGTGAAGGAGGCGGGGCCGAGGGCGAGAGGGGGCACCAGCGTGACTTGGCCTGCAGGAGCCAAGGCCAGCAGAGCCAGGAGGAGCAGATCCCGCTGGTGTGTCTGCTCCGTGACAAGCACCATCCTGCCACCTGGGCCTAGGAGAAGAGCGCGGCCTGCCCACGCCAAGGTGGGAAGGCAGGCAGCCGTGGGCTTCAGCACACCCTAAGAAGACTCCTCGCTGAGTGAAGCTTGGGGGGTGGATATTGTGCCCTTGTGAGTCTTTGTGGAAAGGAAAAAAATTCTCTGAGAAAAGCCCAGAGGAGATGAGCCAGGAAAACAGCCCAGTAGAGACCTCGAGGTAGGGATGCTCATTTCCAGTAAGGCCATTGAACCGGTCCTTTATTGAAAGGCCTGCTGTCACTTGAGTCACCACTCAGCAAATGTGCCCTGCTCCACCCAGCACACAGGGTGGTGGATGGGACACGGGACATAGCCGTTAGGAAAGCCCCAAGGCCCTCTGGACAAGCTTGACACACTCGTCCTCATTCACAAGTGCAGACACCACCACACACCACACACCCTGCTGCTGCTGTGAGGCCCAGACTGATGCACAGGAATGCAGGTTTTAACCCTGAAGGCTGAAGCCAGAACAGTGCCGTAGCAGTGTGCAGCCAGGCAGGCATGGGCTCACAATGGCTTGTGGCTTGGTGGACCTAGGTGACTGAACTTCTCAACCTGAATTCCTTAATCTATAAGGGTTTTGTGTTTTGTTCTGAGACAAGGTCTCACTATGTAGCCTGACCTTAAACTCTGGCAACCCTCCTGCCTTAGCCTTCCTGAGACTGCTAGGATTACAGGCAGGCATCGCCACACCCAGTTTTAAACTAAAATATGAAGGTTAAAATACCCTAACTTATCAGGCATTCTAAGGATAAGTAAGCTAGTGTATATGAAAGAGCCCTAGCACAAGTTACTAAAACTGAATTTCCTGCCTTATTGTCTAATGGTGTCTCTCAGCTTCTAATACAGATCAGTGGGGTGTTGTGTTGTGTTTTTGAGACAGGGCCTCACTGTGCAGTTTAGGATGGTCTTGAGCTCACTCTGTAGCCAGGGTGGTCTCACATCGGCAACTATCCTCCTGCCTCAACCTCCCACGTGCTGGGATTACAGGTGAACACCACCACACCTGGATTAGATTAGTGGTTATTAGGTGAAGGTAGGTTTCTTATTGTGAGTTCAAGCGAAGGAAATATGAGGATCCAGGTGAGGTGTAAGAACAGGGAGCCAGACTGTAAACAAACTGATCCAATTTTTTTTTTTAAGACAGAGTCTCACTATGCAGTGCAGGCTGGCCTTGAGCTCACTTTGTAGCTCAGGTGGTCTTGAACTCACAGTTCCCAAGGGCTGAGATGACAGGCATGCACCACCACACCCGGCTTCAAATTCCACGAGAAGGAAAAGTACAGAGGAGGACCAGATCTCAGAGAGCGGCAGGAACAGCATGAAAACACGGCTCTGGAGAGGCGGGGCCAGGGCGGCCACTTTTCCAACTGTCTCCCTGCTTCCAGGCTGTGACGGTGCCCTGAGCTGACAAAGCACAGCGCTGCTGTCTCTGGAACTGTGCAAGGGCACCAGGCCTCAGGAAACACTTTCACGTTCCTGGCAAGGGTGGCTGTGGAACGTGTTGTGTAGGGTTAGCCTAGGGGACTTGGCTCACAGTTGGGGAAATTTGCCAGCGGGAGGGTGGCAGCGGAGAGGAGAGCCCAGAATAGCAGTGCGGTGTCGAGGTTCACCACCTGCGCTTCAGATTCCGGCAGAACAGACATTGTGGGTCCAGAGTTGCTACCCACACCCCTTGCCAACAACCAGGCATGGGCTCCGGCATTCTGGACAATACGAGAAGTCTGCTGTGGTGCGAGGGCCTTGGGGAGAGTTGGTTTGCTCCTTAAAGAACATGAACAGGAAGAAATTAGGTCTGTTCTTCCCTCTAGACTACATGTGACAGTGAGACTTCCCAATCCTCTTAAAGCCTATGGAATGCTCTCCTGGGGACAGATCCGGAATGCATCAAGGATGTGCTAGAACAGGAAGCCTGGGTGTTTGGTGTATTGCAGAACCACTGAATTAACTTTATAACTTCATTATTGTTAAGAACACTTTTAAGTTTTCTCTTACTTAAAGCCTGGGGTATCATAACTTTAAACATTAAAAAAAAAAAAAAAAAAAAGGCATGGTGGCACATAATCCCTGCACTCAGGAGGCTGAAGCAAGAGAACTATAAATTTGATGCCAGCCTGAGCTATACAAGAAGTTCAAGGCTAACCTAAGCTACAGATTAAGACTCTCTCCAAAAGAAGGGGGAAAACATAAAGGTTTTAAAATTATAATTTTAAAAGCTTGTTCAAATATAGCTTTACTAGATAATGAAACAGTCAAAATCAGTGAGCCTCAGTTTTATCTTCTGTAAGATGGGAAAACTAATGTACTGCCTCATGGAGTAGGTTAGAATACATGAAAAGATACATAGTGCAAAACTATGTGTTCAACAATTATTTCAGTGTTTATAGTTAAGTGCTAACTGAATAGCAGTTTATACTACTTAATGGAAATGAGAGAAAAGAGAAGGGTTGTAATGTTGAGGGGCTTGGGAAAAGTGAAATTAAAAACTGGAAGGGTTAGGACTTGCAGTTGAGACATAGAGGAGGACATGGGGAATGAAACAACTTTTTTTGCGGAAACAGTAGCAGAAAAGAAACAGTAGCAGACTTGGTAGAATAAAAGTACAAATTGAGAGACAGGTTAGGATTGGCCCTAGACTTATGGTTTAGAGAGGCGCCTGCTCCAGTTGGTGGAGTAGCCTATTATATTATCATGGTTTCCACTGTACAGTGTTCCTCAGCCCCGGAAGAGCATTCGGGGAATAAGGTACAGGAGACTTCGCAGTCATCAAGTAACCCAGTTAAACTTGCTCCTGATGGGAGCCACCGGTTAGATGCAGCAGCTGTGTTAGATGTGGCTGTGCAGGGAAGGACTGCAACCGGACCGCATCCACCTGCAAGACGGAAGGCCGACTAGGAAAGCAGAGGCCACACACCACGTGGCTTGCTGGGTCCACATTTTCTGTCCTGCTGTAAGATCTCACACAGACCCCAAATCAGTCAGTTGTAGGTCAAGCCTGAGCAGGCACAAAGATTCCGTCTGGGATAAGTAAAAGGATCAAATCACAGGACCTTTGAAAGAAACAACTCTGGAGACCACCAGAATTGTAAGCAAAGTGAAAAGAGAAACCCCAAAGGATTACATGCAACCCCAAACCTGTCCCTTTCAAAAAGTGTAGATGAGGCCAAACTGCCTCAAAAGGAAAGCCAGGGGGTGATAGTCACGTCCCGGATGGTTACCTCTGATGCACAAGACAGAAATGTGTAGGAAAGGAGGTACAGTTAGGTGTACAGCTTATCAAAGTTTCACTTTCTGTTTGAAATTTGAAATAGGGTCTTCATGAATGCTTAGTGTTACCCATTATAATAAATGTGTCCAGCCAAAGATTATGATAACTCAGATCTTTGTGTTTATGGTCTGAAGGAGGAAGGGGCTAGAAATAGAAATGATCAGAAACAGTGGTGTTTGGACAAATGGAAAGCGGGTAGCACGGTATTCCAGCCTCTTTACATTTATGACAGCCTTCAAGCCCGCAAGGATAAACAGTCATGTTCAACCTAACTTACAAAATAACTAACAATTACACTGAGAAACACATTCAAATATGAGACGTTTTAATAGCCAGGATTACGTGACATTGGTGGCTTCCACGTCCAGTACTGTGGCACAACAGGTGCTTGGAGGATTGTCGAGAACAATCAACAACATACGTGTATGTTCTTAAGGTGCTGCTGGTATCACAAAAAGGGGTCTTTAAGGCCGGGGATTTAGCTCAGTGGCATAAGCGCCTGCCTGGCAAGGGTGAGGTTGTGAGTTCAATCCCTGGTACCACAAAAAAAAAGGGGGGGGGGTGTCTTTAAAAACAAAACTTTCCAAAAAAAAAAAGTCCTTTCCCTCAAAAAAGAAACCAAGAAAATGTACTGAGGTAAGGGAAATGATTCGATCTCCAGTACCAAAAAGAAAAAGAGAAAAAAAAGCAAGCCAGTAAAATGAGCCAGAAGAAACAAACAATAGATTTAGACCGCCTAAAAACTAAAATTAAAATATTAAAATAGTTAAAATACTACAAATGTAAAATGTCTCCAATTGCCTAGTTGAGTTTTTAAGAAGCAGAACCGGGTCGGCACATTCTAAAGTTAATAAGCCACAAGAACAAGCACCACTTGGGAGCAGGTCGGTGGGAGCCAAGCGGCGAGCTCCAAGTCAGGCCCCGGCTCCTCAGCAGCAGCCTGCGGCGGGGCGACGGTCAGTGCCGGCCTCGGGGTCCAGGCTGCCGCCCGGGAGGACCCGCCCTCGGAGGCCGCCTGGCCGGCGGTCGGTGGAGGGGCCCGGGCGGCCCGGGCGGACGGCGGGGGAGCCCGCGGAGGGCTCGGCGTCGGCTCCTCCCCGGCACCGCGCGGGCCCGCGGTGCAGCCTGCGGCCGGCCGGGGGCGGCCGAGCGAGGCGGGGCTCCGGGGCGGCGGCAAAGCAGCCCCGCGGGCGGGCGCGGGCTAAAGCGCCTGCAGCTGTGGACGGGTTTTGCTTCTTTCCTGGGTCATCTTGGCCCATCTTGTCTTTCTCCCCAGGTTCTTGCGTCCTTATTACTACTGCTTTTCATCTTACCTTATTTTATTTTTCAAGATTACCCCATTGTCCTGCTCTATTGATCTTTCCTCTTTTTGTAAACCTCCTTTCTTCTCTATTCTTTTTCTGTCTTGACTAGTTTTTGCCTCCTTGTCTTCCCTCTTCTACACACACACACACACACACACACACATATAATTTATCTATCTGCACCCGTATATATAGTGCAAAAGAGAAGAAGCATAACCAGTGCTTTAACCGAGTATGTCAGGGTCACCCGTAAGAGAAGTATGTTCGGAGAAACCAAACCAAATCAAACAAATCTCACAGCCTCCCGCAGTCTTTGTCTGCACTGCACCCTCTGCATCCCCCCACCCCCGCCTGCCCAAGTATCCTCTCAAACCCCAAAACACTCGACCCTTACTCCAGCTGTAAAAATACTCCTCCTGCCTATCTTTCATCTATGACATTTCTCACATTACTGTCTTCCCACTGACACAGCTCTTCCTTTTCCCTTCTTTTTTCCTTTCCCCCACCCTCTACATCCCAGACTAACTGTAAACAACAGTGTAATGCAGTCTGTAAGGGGCATTCATAGAAGGATGAAGTTATCTTGGAGTGTACTTTTTTTTTTTTTTTTGGTACCGGGATCAAACTCATGGCCTCACAGCTGCCAGGCAGGCAGCTTATCCCACTGAGCTAAACTCCCAGCCCAAGGATGCAATTAGCAAAACCAGCTTCAGTGTTCATGACTCTGTGACTGGATCTGCCCATACTATTACAATCAGTAGAAATTCTATCCTTACCAACACTGACTGGAACTGACCCAACTAAACTGAATAGGTTGAAGTGGTTGACAACATTTCATGGCAAATGAAGCCAAGGTTACATTACCAGAAAACAACTCAACTAAAGAAATCTTGGTGCCAATAATAAAGTCTCTTTATTCTATTGACCTTAATGCTGGGCATCAAAAGAGAGAGAGAGAGAGAGAGAGAGAGAGAGAGAATAGGGCAACCAAATGCCTCTAAAAATTCCCAGCTTCCCAACGCAGATCCAAGGGGCACCAATGGAAAGAAAACCAACACCAGATGGCTAAATTGTATAAAATGATCTAAAAGAAAGCAAAGAAACTTAGTTATATCAAAGAGCAAAGAAACTTTGCTATATCAAAGGCGATATAGCAAAACATGGTGGGATTAATAAACAAATTGCTCAATGTGCTTACAGGACATACTAGAATGGTTAAGCAAAACCACTGAAAATATGAATGACAAAGTTAGAGTCCATGAAAAGGTCTCAAACAGAAATTCCAAAAGTAGGGCTGGGGATTTAGCTCAGCAGCATAAGCACCTACTTTGCAAGTGCGTGGTTGTGAGTTCCAACCCCGGTACCAAAAAAAAAAAAAAAGAAATTCAAAAAGTAAAGAATTCTATTGAATATTTGAGTAGCAGAAACAATCTTATGAGGAGTGTCATATCTGGAAGACAAAAATGACACCATATACTCAGAGATACCTTAAAAACAGTAAGAGCCAGGCATGGTGGTGCACGCCTGAAATCCCAGCACTCAGGAGGCTGAGCTGGAGAATCACTGTGAGTTGGAGGCCAAGCTGGACTACAAAGTTCAAGGCCAGCCTGAATTACATAATGAAACCCTGTCTCAAAAAGACAAAACCAGAAACAAAACAATAAGAGAACAAAGAATATCAACCCACCACTATTAGCACAAAAACTAACTCAAGACCAATTGGAGTTAGAGAAAAATCGGGGAACAGCAAACATAGAATAAAAAATATGTTTACAGAAATCACAGCAAAACAGTTTCTAAGTATGGGGAATGAATTCAATATATAGGTAATTACAGTATACAAAATATCAAATAATTATGAGAGAAGAAAGCCACTACTCATATCATGGTCAAAACCCCAGAAGTTCCATACAAGAACAAAATCTTAAAAGCAGTCAGAAAAAATCAAATATCACTTATCAAGATAAACCTATTAAGGATCACATGTAGCTCATCACAAACTTTACCACAGTAAATACCAGCAAAATCCAGATTATTGGTAAATATACCATGAAAACATACTCCAGTGAGTGGGAGAATCTAGAAGAAATGGACAGATACCTAGATTTATATGAATTTTCAAAATTGAACCAAGAAGATATAAAAACCCTAAGCTGTCTAATAACAGGCAATGAAATTGAGACAGTAATAAAAAACTTATCAAGTAAGAAAAGCCTGGGACCTGTGGGAGTCACTGCTGAATGCTGTAAGAACTTCATGGAAGATCTCGTGCCAACACTCCCCGAATTCTTTGACGAAACTGAAAGGGAAAGAGTATGTCTAAACTCATTCCTGGAAGCTCACGTTATCCTGATTCTAAAACCAGACAAGGACCCAACTAAAAAAGAAAACAGTAAGTCAGTCTCTTTAATGAACATAGACACAAAAATCCTCAACAAGGTCCTGGCAAGCAGAGTGCAGCAAGTCATCAAAAAGACCAGGCGTCATGACAAGCGGGTTTCATCCCAGGAATGCAAACATACACCAGGCAGTAAGTGTAATTCATCACATAAACAGAAGCAAGAACAAAACCATCACGTCATCTCAATAGATACCTTTGACAAAATTCAGTATCTGTTGATGACTTTTTTTTAAAAACCTGAAGAGAATAGATATTGAAGAAGCTTATCTCAATCTGATCAAAGTCATTCATGACAAAACCACTGTTAACATCATATTAAGAGGGTGTGGGGGAAATGAAAGCTTTCCCTCCAACATCAAGAATGAGACAAGCCTGGCCATTATCACCACTTCTGTTCACTATAGCACAGCACTTGAAACACTAGCAAGAGCAATCAGGCAAAAGAAAAAATAAAAGATATATATATATATATATATATATATATATATATGAAAAAATCAGGCTGTCCTTATGGGCAGATGACATGGCCCTTTACAGAGAAGAACCAAAAATTCCACTAGACTTCTAGAACCGGTAAACAAATTCAGCAACATATCAGGATATGAAACCAACACACAAAACTCAGTTGTGCTCCTATACACCAATAATGAACTTACTGAGAAAAAATTAGAAAAAAAATACCATTCACAGTAGCTTCAAGAAAAATCAAATACTTAGTACTTAACCCAAATAGGAAGTAAAAATATCTACAAGGAAACTACAGTACACTGAAAAAGAAGATCAAGGAGGACATTGAAAAATGGAAAGATATCCCCTGTTCCTGGACAGAACCAATATTATAAAATAAATAGCCACACTACCAAAACTGATAGACAGATTTAATGCGACCCAATCAAAATACCAATACCATTCCTTATAGAATTAGGAAAAAAATCATTTTGGTACAGAAGCAGAAGGGACCCAGAATATCCTTTAATCAATATTATCTAAGCAACTATACTCGTAATCTTATTGGTTGACCATAGTTTTGTCCCACCTCACACCCTCCTTGTGACTTCTCATTGGATCAGTGTTACCCACGTGACTATACTTGTAATCTTACTAGTTGAGTACAGTTTGTCCTACCTTGAACCTGCCTGCCCTTGTGTTTTTGCTCAAACACCCTTAAGAAGCAGGGTCGGCTGGCAACCCACTTTTTCTGGCCTGTCTCAGTACTTTTCTCATTGCTGCAAAATACCCAAACTCCCAAATTAAAAGAGGAAAGGTTTATTTAGCTCACAATTTGTAGAGGTTTTGGTCCATACTCAGCTGGCTCCAAAGGCAGATGGAAGAGGTAACAGTTCATGGTGGCAGACACCAGCAAAAACAGCAAGCGAGCCTCTTTCTGCCCTTCTGTTTTATCCAGACTGCTGGGTTTAGGGCAATGCTAATCCAATCAGTGGATCAGCAATCACCCACTCTTTATCCCAGCACCTTTAACCCCAGCATGGCACACTCTAGATTCTACCACCTCCAAAAAGCCTGCTTCTCGTGACCGCATGAAGCTTGGAGGGGACATCCAGACATAACAAGCCCCTTTCTGACTTTCGTAGTAGCTTTTTTACCTGGGCATGGTGGTGTGCACCTATAATTTCAGCACTCAGGAGGCTGAGGCAGGAGGATTGCCATGAGTTCCAGGTCTGCCTGGACTACAGAGAGAGACCCTATCTCAAAAAACTAAAAAAACAAGGAGCTTTTCTTCCTTTTAATAAATTCTTTCTACTTTTAGTCTTTTTCCTAGAATTCATTCTTCAATTCTAGAGAACACAAACTTGGCATTTCAGACATATAGTAGATGGGGATTTCTTTCCTCTGTATCATTTGGAGGTCTCCCCCCAAGATAATAGGATGGAGGTAAGAGTTTGCTTTTGTTTCACACATTCTGGATTGGGACACACTTTGGTAATCAAAATTTTATGCTTCAAATTTTTATATAATGTCTTTGCTCATTGCTTATAATTGCTCATCTTTGTCTTTTATATAGTTTTGTTAAAATACTGATAAATTTGTCAAAAACATAGAAAGGTTGTGATGCTTCATCAATGGTACATTTTATTCTTATTTTGTATATATTACGTTTGGACTGGTTTCTGAATTTACTAGTGTTCTTTGTTTGGTTTGACTGCTGTGGTTTTAGACAGTAGTGCTAGGGAAAAGTAGTGTTTAGAGTTCCCCCTAGTGGCGCTTGCCCTGAAGTGCTATCAAATGGTCTCTGAAATCCAGTTCATATTTATAAAATACACGTCTATTAATAAATCCTGGGACCCTTAATGTCAATTAAAAGGCA